GAGTGACTCATTACGCATTCTCGGACTAACGTTTTCACCTGAAATGAAGTGGAAAGAGTATATTGAATCAATTGCTCAGTCTGCAACTATGTCCTGGTAGAGAATGTTTCTTACCAGAATCTATCTTACATATTTATAAGTCTACCATTTGTCATTACTTTGGCTATTACTGCCACATCTGGCCTAATGCTCACGCTATTTTTGAAATTCTAAATAAAATCCAAAGATCCGCAATGTTATTGTTCCTTACTTGGAAACTTTAGATCCTTTCTTACTGCCTTAACGTATCTCTCCTGTGCATTTTTTTTATAAATATTGTCATGGTAAATTGTTCTTATGAACTTTCCGCTATGGAATATAGACTTTATGAATTCAAGCACAGTACTAGATAGGCGGCTAGGTCTCATTATTTTACTGTTAAAATGGCTAGACGTGACCGTAAGTTCTATGCTAACAGTTTCTTCTATTGCACTTCTCGCTTACAGAACTCTCTTCCGGCTCTTTGCTTGCCAACCGTCTTTGATCTTCAACATTTTAAGGCAATATCCATGGTTATCTTCTGCCTTGTTAATTCTGCATTTATTGCAGGTTTTCACATTTTCTCTAACACTTAAAAACCCCTTGTGTCATAGTGGCTTTATTGCCTTTGTTGGAATGAATTGATTAAAAGAAATGCCCGCTGATCATTCCTCATTATTTTTACTGAGGGTTTTTCTTACGAATTTCATTCATTTCCATTACTTATTTTGTTTTTCTCTTTTAACTTTTTCTTCGTTTTATTTCTTACTTTTTATTTTCGCTCTTTTCCAAGAGTGTAAGATATTTATCAGGATTCCTTCCGAGTATTTTCTACGTAATAAATTAAACGCACCCTCGCACATACACGCATAAACATTATCAACCGAATCCCACATAGATCAACTAGAATTGTGATAAACTAACACATATGCATTATACACACGAACGCTGTTTGACAGGATAGATAAACGTGCTTAACCAATGAAAAGCAAACAGCATAAAAATATAAAGCCAGAATTGTTTTCCCATCCATAATTCATCTTTGGTGAATCTTGAATAAAAGGAAAGCATATATTAAATGTATAAACGATTCCGATTTGTTATTTATCCATTCATATACATATATATATATATATATATGTGTGTGTGTGTGTGTGTGTGTGTGTGTGTGTGTGTATATATATATATATATATATATATATATATAGATAGATAGATAGATAGATAGATAGATTAAATTACCTCCTGAGCTGCTGGAATTAAGTAGTAAAGCTCGTCCGAACATCAGCTATAAAAATAACAACAGAATAGTGAAAGGCTATCAATGTTTTCGCTGTTGTATAAGAGTTGCAGGATGGAGAATAATTCATCACCCACAAGGCTGCGTAATCCCTTCTGATCTTCATTGGCTCACATATAATGAGGAAATGTTATTAGCTTTATCTTGAAGGAATTAAATGATACGAACCAACATTTTCCTTATTCAGCTGTGAGAACACTGAGCGATATCAGCTGCCAGGCATCAAAATATCAGGCCATCTCATAAGTTCTGTCCGAATTTTGAATAAAGAAAACAAGTGACCAAATGTTACATTTAGTTACAGATTCAATCAACAATGTTTTTTCCCTGATTATCTATGACTTCCTTCCATCTATTAACAAGCTTTCTAATTCCATTACTGTAAAATTCTTTTGGCTTTGATTCGAAGAACTCACAAATGTCAGTTTTAACCTCTTCCTGTGTTACAAAAGCTATTTTTTCCAAATGATTCTGTAAGCTACGAAACAAATGGTAGTCTGAAGGAGCAAGATCGGGAGAATAAGGTGGATGAGGAATTTTCTCCCAACCAAGTTCTTCAATCTTTTGTGACGTGATTCTTGTTGTGTGGTGTCGCGCATTGTTCTCATGAAACATCACCTTCGATTCACTAGAGCAGGTCTTATTTTCCTCAAAGCTTGGTTCAAATGCTCTAATTGCTGACAGTATAGTTGAGCATTAACTATTGCATTAGGTGGTAAGAATTCAAAGTGGATTATTCCTTGGCGATCCCACCAGATTGAAAGAAGAACCTTTTGCCCATGCAATTCCCTTCTCGGCTGTGGCTGGGGTCCTTCCCCTTTATCAAGCCACTGTCTACGACGCTTAACATTTCGATAAAAGATCCATTTTTCATCGCCAGTCACAAGTGTATCCAAAAAGTTGTTGAAGAGGACGATGAACAGTTGTATGGTTTGAACTGAGAACCAATGCCAATTCCTCAAATGATAAAGCAGGATTTTCTTCAAAGGCTGCTTCAAGAAGCTTTTCATCAAACTCAACTGGACGTCCGGTTCGATCTTCATCTTCAAGGGTGAAATCTCCACCTCTGAATTTTGCAAACCATCTTCTGCAAGATCTTTCATTCACACATTCCTCTCCATAAACTGAGTGAATGTTTCTAGCCTCTTCAGCCGCTAAGTTTCCTTTCTTGAACTCATAAAGCATTATGTGCCTCAAATGATTCTTGGGTACTTCCATGTTAGCAGGGTTTTGATCAAACAAAATTTAATTTTATTGTTCTCTGAAATAAAATTTGATCAGTTTAAATGCATCTAAACATAAAAATAATGTTCGGCTCCATTGGACATTATAAAATACTCTTTGAATTTCGTTCATTTTAACAAAAAGTTAAAATTCGGACAGAACTGATATTTGGAGGTGCACCTATACATTGTGATATCATCTGTGTATACATTTGCTAATAGTCTAAGAGTGTTGGTGAGCAGATCGTTGATATAAAGCAGAAAGTAGTTAGGACCGAAGCATTCTGTCTTGTTAAGCTTAATCTTCCTTTCTTCTTAGATTATTACCTTGTCGAAGAGCTCTTTTAATTAACATTCAGAGCCTGCTATCAACCGCATCTTATTTAATTAATATTATATCCGCTTATGATAAACCCTGGTATACATTCTATATCACTTCGCATATTATCAGTTCCCAACATCTTATTTGCCGTATATACCCGTGTACAAGTCTATTCGTATATAATGCAATTCTTGAATTATTTTGTGAAAAAATGTTTTTGTCATATAGCTCGTTTATAATACGGCCATAATTTCTGAGCAAATACTAGTGAGCCTACTGCAGTCAAAATATTACATCAATGTGCAGCAGCTTGTACATATATGATCGTGCCTGACGGTTCATCTTGTCAAAATATTACGGTCTTCACATTTTCTTTTATTCATTGTAACTCCTTGCGTCCTGGTGGCATTATCGCCTTGCATGGGCTGAAATGATTAAAAAATATTCTTCTTTCCAGCAAATTCTCAGCTACAGATAATGTCCTAGCTGTCTCGAAAGCTAACTTAGAGATTACAGAATTGTGTGCTTTGTTGGCATCTGTCCGTCTCGGGAGAGGATAATGCATCGCTGAGAGGTACGAATTTGGACAAGAACGCGGGCGGCCCATGTGTCAAATGACACAGTACGCTATCCGACAGCCTTGAGGGATTCTACTCAAGGTCTGTGTAGGTTTTTTTTCTGTTGTGGACCCAGAATAGGTCCGAAAGAAAACTCGAACACAGCAATTTAGTGAAAACAGATTATTAACAAAAAGAAAGAATACAAATATGTTGCACGTCCGAATGACGGCAAAGTCAACTCGTCAACTGTAGACAGCAGTCCCTCCACGAGGAATGTGGCACAAGGCCGAGTGGGTTTCTCGGCCAAAAATATACCCTTTGAACCCACCTAGACAGGTTCAGGGCCTGTCTACCTCCCCCGGCGAAACTTTGTCCTTCGGCAAAGCTTCGTCCGGGTTCCTCTCTGCCAAAGCAGAGAGTTCGACAGAAGTCATACACAGACGACGTACACAGTCAGAGACTGCGGGTCAACTGTAGAGAGAGATATTTAGTTATCCCCCAACGAGGGTTACATGTGGCACAAGGCCGGTTTTACGTAGGATCTCCGAGCCCGTAGGCTCGGCCAAAAATAATCCCTCTTTGAACCCGCATAAACTGGTTCAGTGGCAGTCAACCTCCCCGAACGAGACTCTGCCCTTTGAAGGGTGTTCGATTGTTTAGCTGTAACAGGTCAACTATAGACAGCTCTCTTGAGAGGCATAATCTCCCCGTATATATAGTAATAGGACGAGTCCATTTAGTCCATAAAGGTAGGTCCCATAATAGTTTCCTATCCTACTCTTAAATATATCATTCCAAAAATACCTCACTTGATGCCCAAAACTTTTGGCCTTGTACTACACCTAAGCTATGTTTAGAAAACCACCACCAATCCAACAATAAAATATTGATAAATATATAAATCATTTCCTCTTTTTGCCCGTGTATAAATTATTATCTGACTCATTTAAAAACCTTCTCAGTTTTGCCCAAGGTCACAACTGTACGAATAACTTACAAGCAAAGAATTACAAATAATAATATCAGCGGGTCGAGCTCGTTAAGCATAACAGCAGAAACAACGCCCATTTCTATATAATTCTTCATCGTTTATTGGCTATAAATTGAAATGATTCTCATGCCTAAAGCGAAGAGTTACTTCTCGCTATCCTCTTGCCATCCTGCGCAGTTTTCAACCCCCCAAAAACAACGTCTCTGTGTAGAACTTGACTTCAGTCCTTCAGGCTCAATTTGATCTTAAAAATGCTCTTTTAAATATGAAATGTATTTGAGGAAATTTTCGCTAAAGTACCATCACGGCGTATAAATTGCTGGTTGGTACGCCTAAGGCAACGGAAGGCATAATATAAATGTGCTCCATTAATTAGTATGGCACTACGCATAAAAAACGACGCGCTTATCATCAAACGTAAAGTAGACATTCATTTAACAAGTTTTTTTCAAACTAGGATAAAATGGGTTGTAATAAATATTTTTATTTTCTCCTTTTTGCTTATTGGTCTATTGATGACAGTTGATATCTAGCTATCTCTGTTAATATCTATATATCTATCCTATTCTGTTCATATTTGTGACAGTTCATCCAGCTATCTATCTATCTATCTATCTATCTATCTTTTTTTTCTCTCTCTCTGTATATATATATATATATATATATATATATATATATATATATATATATATATATATACCATTCTGTTAATATCTATTACAGTGAATCTATCTATCTATTTATCTATCTATCTATCCCATTCTGTTCATATCTGTCAGAATGATTTTATCTATCTATCAATCTCACTCTATATCTCTCTCTACACACACACACACACACACACACACACACACACACATATATATATATATATAAGTTTGTTTTGATATATCTATATATCTCAATTTTCTCATATCTATCTATTTATCTACGTGGAATTAGATCTATGTATCTGTCTCTCTGTCTATCTATCTATCTATCTATCTATCATTCTTTACTTATATGTCACAGTGATTTTATCTACCTTTCTATAAATGTCAGTTTATTTAGATCTATGTATCTATCTCAATGTTCTCATATCTATCTATCTATCTATCTATCTATCTATGTTCATTTCGATCTATATATCTATAAAAAAAAGCAACAAAAAACAAGGATGTCTACTCAAATACACATACTCAAAAATGCTTATTGTATAAATCAGATAAGAAGCAGAGATATTTTTTCTTATTGCTACCAATTGCGTCTTATTGTTTCATAATACTTCCAATACCTTTAAAATTCTTTGCAGGTAGAATGTTCGCAATATGTATTTATTATCTCCAAGAAAACTACAGGCATTCTGAGAACATCCAGTTTGTACAATTCATGGATATCTTGGGATTCAATATACTGATGAAAATTAAGTAGATTAGGGAACAATTTATTTCAACGAATGACGTAATTTTGCTCATAATTCTCAGACAATATTTTTACATGTATTCTCTGTTGTACAAATAAAGAACACCAAACAGTGAAGACTGTGCAATTTACCGACTGATGAAAAGGACACCTGATATGTACCAATATTAGGTTGTTCGTAAAACAGTGTCGGCTTTTTGTAGAAAAAAACCTTTGGAATTTCAATATATTCTTACAATAATAGCACAAAAATACATTATTCATTTTGAGTAATCAAAGTGTCTTCTTTTTTTTTAATCTTTCAGTATTTCACTTAAAACATGAGCTACCACTCATCTTGAACATCAAAAAAAAAAAGACGAAACACATTTACCTTTTTTGTAGGAGTTCAAGCCTGACAATGCTGCTTATTAAGCTGTTGCCAACAGTATGGGATCAAGGATCGACTTGTGCTCGAACAGAACGGCGCTGGTTACTGAAATCCCGCAGTGGGGATACGAGTCTTGAAGACATGATCGACAGAGGGCATTCATCTGCAATTGACAATTAAAATCTAAAAATACTAGTTGAATAAAAACTCACGATTAAGTGTTAGTGCTATTTGAGCGTCAGCATGTCAACAATATCAGACCATCTAAAAAAAATTGTCATCGTGAAGAAACTCGATAAATTGGTAGAGTATCAGTTTTTTGAAGAGGCCGTCTGAGTGGAACGTCTTCCTTACCAAACGAATACGAAGGAAAATGGGAACGATTTGCCACCGTGAACGTGGCCTGGCTTTGAAGATCTGAGCATGGAGAATAATTCATCACCCACAAGGCCTCGTAACCTCTTCTGAACTCCACTAGCTCAGATATAATGAGGAAATGTTATTAGCTTAATTTTGAAGGAATTAAACGATACCAATCAGCATTTTTCTCATTCAGCTGTTAGAACTTTGAACTAGATCAGCTGCCAGGCATCAAAATATTTGGAGTTGTACCCATACATTGTGATATTATCTGCGTATACATTTGCTAATAATCTAAGAGTGTTGTTGAGCAGATCGTTAACATAAAGCAGAAAGTGGATAGGACTGGAGAGAGAGCCTTAGAGAACGCCAGCAATGAGCAAATGTACCTTAGACGACCGGCTATAAACGACTACCTTCGTAGACCTACCTAGCTGGAAAGACTTGATAACCGAACGATCTCACCTGAGATTCCCTAGCTGCCCAGTTTGTATAGCAACCCCCCTTTCCACACCTGTCGCTTGTCTTCGAGATATCTGGGGCGATCACTCTCGAGATATTTCTTTTTATTATCAAGTACTTCACTAATTCAATTTTTGATAATAGGATATCAGCAGTGGACCTAGAAGAGCAAAAAACATACTGCTTGTCGCGGTGTCTAACAACATTCTTGTTTGTAATAGCTTCAAAAGTTTACTAATGATAGTAAGGAAGCTGATGAGACAAGGGCTCCCATGCATTCGACATTAATTTAACGAACAGCCAGTGCCACTATCGGTTGATATTTAAATATATACATCTTTTCTGTTAAAACACTTTTTCAGAAAAAACGGTAAAGTATAGCTCAAGATTTCAATGTTAAGATAAATCATTATTTAATTATAACCACAAATAAATGGTTAACAAGAACAATGAAGTAAAAGTCAACCAAAGATAATTAACCATTTCAGTGAATACCTTGTTGGTAGCGCGTCGGTTTAACGTCCGATAAATCCTAAATGAAAACCTAAATCCTCGACGCACAATAATTCACACTAATTTTACTGGATAGTTCAATTCAATAGTCACTCAATAATCACTGCAGTCAGTAGCCTGACACCGCTATTTATGCACCTGGTGTAAAATATATATTCATAATTCTAGAGTCTCACAACCGAATCTCGGTATCGGTAGTTACTCATTTATCTTTCTATATGACACATATATTCACCTTTTTAATAAATTCTGTTAATGAAAAATTATGTAACCCAGTAAATTTAATGCAAAAGAAGCAAGTGAATGCAGCCATATATAATACAAGAAATCATGAAATATCAAAAGGAACAACCATAAAGAACATCGAAGGTAGGTTTTCTTTCAGGTAGACAGCGAGGCATTTTTTGTGAGGTACGGTGACCGTTAATAATTAAGTGTAACTCAAGACTTTGATGTTAAAATAAAACAGTATTTAATTACAAGAGCAAATAAATACTTAACAAGAACAAAGAAGTAAAAGTCAACCAAAGATAATTAACCATTTCTATGAACACCTTGTTAGTAGCGTGGTTCTGCTTCTTTTTTCTTTTCTTTTTATGTGCCATGTCCTTTCAGGACGTAGGCGATCATGGCTCTCCACCTCCCTCTATCCCTTGCAGCTCTAAACAATTTCCTCCCCTCTGCTTCCTCCCCCCAGACCACGTTCTGTCATCCATTTGCTTAAGCCCGCTAGGTAAATCGCACGTTGATTTCCCTTGTCTCTCTTTCCCTCTATTCGACTTTTGAGTATCAGATTCTCCAGGCTCTCCTTTCTCATTATGTGTCCCAGAAACTTTAGCTGCCTCTTCCTGATGTTAAGTATAAGCATTCTTCTTGTTTGTAACCTATCTAAGACTTCATCTTTGCTCACACGCTCGGCCCATGATATTCTTAAAAAATCATGAAATATCAAAAGAAACGACCATAAACTTAGCCAACGGAAAGTGTGGCGTGCCATCAGGATAACCCCAGACGTCCATGTTTCTTGGATGCAGCAAGGTGAATATACGGATTCGATATCAAGCTCATTCTCAACTTAAGACCGACAGTAAATCATACACGATAATCAAAATGCCAAAATATCTAGGATAACCTTGTCCCGAATGAGGATTACGTTCGGATTTCCCGACAAAGGTCTAATCATTCAAACAAGCTCAAAACGCTGATCGTGATTTGGAAATTTCAAATTAAAACACGATGAGCAAATATAGACAATATTTACATTCAAATATTTATTCGAATTTGGATTAAAAAAAAAATTCAACGTCCGACATGTTTTACTTTTCTTTTTTGTGTGTGTGTGTGTGTTTAACTGTTGAATATATTTTCATCTGAAGCTAATGATTATTCTGCTCACATCCCGTTTTGTCGAACTTTGAAACTAATGAAAGCCCAAGAAATATTCGGCGTTTAAAATATGTTGCTGGAATCTCGTTAGAAATTTCCCCGTGTATGTGCGTCAATTTTTATTTGCATTCCATAAAGTTCTGTCTTTTGAACAGACTATTTCTGTATGCCTGATTCAGCAAAAGAAAACATTTATCATTCATTCGCGTGCGCAATCTTGTCTGAGAAAAGCCTCACTCAATCTCTCTACATAGCAGTACAATGCTTTGAAATACGTTAGCCTAATTATGCATTTCGAATTTATTGAACTTATATATAGTTACTTCAGAAATCAGTTGTTTTATCTACAAATGGCAACAATCACCTATATATATCAAAACACGTATCTATATGCAAGTGTTGACTTCTGTGTTCACTTCTCACCAATTCAGTCGGGTTTCGGTCCTTGCTAGAGGCAACCGGATGTCTAGCCACACTGATGAGCTGTGAAACAGCGAAACAGTCTGTCTGTGGATGATCTTCTATATATATATATATATATATATATATATATATACTACTGTTCCAAATGTTTGAGGGAACCCTTGTAATATTTGAAATTGACCCCAATATTAGTTCTTTTGTATTAAAATAAGTGAAAGTTATTATACATGGTTAAAAAAGAAAGGGATCTGACTTTTATTTTAAATTTTATGATATCATAAAGAAAAAAAAAATTATGATTAAATTTTGCTCTCATCAAAATATCCTTCTTTCGTGTTGATTGCTGCAGCACAAATTTTTCGCATTCGTTCGAAAAAGTTTCTCAAAGTACGATAATTCATCTCATTTTATTTTCGATGACTCTAAGAGATCCTTTTCACTTTTTTTCGCTCTTCTCTCAAGTTCATTCCATGCTAATTCTGGGATGGCGTCAAACATTTTATATATATATATATATATATATATATATATATATATATATATATATATATATATATATAAAAGTGAACATGACGTCAATCGTCAGGCGACAGTCTGACGATTGCATATAGCAATCGTCAGACTGTCGCCTCTAAGTGTTGACTTTATGTTCACTTTTATATATTTATATATTTACACGCTCTATCTCTGATATTGAGCACTTTATTCCATAAATATAGCATACCTTAAGACTATATTACTTTATATATATATATGTATGTGTGTGTGCGTGTGCGTGTGTGTGCGCGTGTGTGCGTAGTTTAAAAATTAGGAGATCAGTTGAATCCGCTACAGGGGTTTCAAATTTACGATATCCTCAGGCGTGTTTTATCAGTTGACCTTCCAAAGCTATATTTAAAAAAAAAAAAACATAAACAAAACTAACGGATGTTATTATTTTATCAAAATAAATAGACATTGATATGTGACGTTGGGTGTGATAGAGAGGGAGGAGGAAAATGTGAAGAAGAAGAAGAAGAAGAAGAAGAAGAAGAAGAAGAAGAAGAAGAAGAAAAGCAAGGTTACTATAAATGTTTCGGGGGGATCGGATTTCTGGTTCAAAAGGTTCTTTGCATCTCGAAATATCATTATTGCTAATCTTTCCTCTAAAGAGTCTATGTTGGACTCTTCCGCCTACTATAAAATTAGTAGGAGAGAAGGCCTTGGGGGAACAGTCGAA